ACCGGCTTTGCAGCGCCCTTGCTGTCGCCGGGGGTGGGGCCCGGGACCAAGACCGGCTCCGGTCGAAGTGCGCGCCACACAGTGGGACGCGCTGCCGGCGCCCTGGTATGCAACGGCCTGCGCGCTTGTGTTGCAACTCTGAGAATCGAAGTTCGAAATGGTGATTCCATTCTGGGTTTGCTATTCTCGGATTCGAACGTAGGCGGGGAGGATATTTACGCATTTCTGTCCTCTGATTTTCTGAAAAATTATTACAGTTTCCTTCATAGGGTTGATAATTGCGAGAAATTAATGATTATGTGATGAGATAACGGTTCAGATGTGATTCATTTGAAGCCAACCACCCTACAACCACATGATGAAAACATCCGTCTTACGTGCATATCCATCCCCCAGTCAACCCCCAAAGATCGAGCTCTCAATGTCAAGTTATAAATGCGGGTAAACAGCATGTTCTTTAACGATTCTCCGTTCTTTTTCTTATTTTTCTTTCCACATTTCTCTATCTTATTTTTCTATTCCTATGCCCAATCACCTTTGAGAGTGTGATTTAAAATGTAGATACAAGGAAACTATAATGGCCAAAACAGACATAGCAAATATTCTCTGTGATTTCGGTTCAAATATTGTATCTGCCAATGACATTGAAAACGTGGAAAAGTACTAACAGAAATATTTAGGTTGAGGATCCGAAGGCGCGAAGGTGAGCATGTTGTGTCTACATTAGTTAGAAACTCCTGGGTTCAATTCCCACTTTGTGTATTCACGTCTGTGTTTGTCTATTCGTGTTTAAATACCATAATTTGCTTTTAGAACGATCAATCGTTATTATAATCATAGAAGGGGACTCCAGTATCCAATTTTATATATGATACAATATTTTCTCTTTCGATTTTGAAAATAATGTTATGATTATCAGGATTTGCCACGGACGTTTGCACTGTCGCGCGTGTCGCGCGTGATGAAATATGATTTGCTCCAGATTCATAACTATCCTATGTTTCAAGTTGAGGTGTTGGCGCTGTAACTGTATTCACCTTTTGATGTATTATTATTTATGTTTCTTTATGCGATGGATAACCAGTATTTTCAAATTTATTTACTAGTCTTGGCCTCGCTGTCTGGCTATCGATGAGAAAAAATTAAAAGTGCACAGAATGAATGAATCATTACATAAATACAGAACACATAATGTTAGACTATATTAGATGATCAAATTTCTTCTTCTTCTTTGTGACCTTCCTTTCCTCCGACCTCCTCATCACCATCTCATTGTCTTCTTCACCTTCAGCGTCTCCTTCCCCGTTTCCTTTTCTTCTCAATCTCTTTTTCATTCTCCATTTGCTTTTCCATCTCCGTTTTCTTTTTCTTCCTTTTACTTCTCCGCTTCCTCTCCTTCTCCATGTCTTTCTCAATTTCCTTGTT